TCTTGGTGATGAGGCAGTATTCACTAGTACATGGGCGTGTCCTATCGTATCGTATAACATCGTATCGCAAAGCTTGGCCGGGCGGCATTCTCGATAAGCTGGCCGCTGCTAAGCCGCCGAGGACGATCCCTGACAGCACCCTGGACGGTAGGAGATAACGGTGTTACGGTACCCGGCCGCATTTCCCTCTCCCCTTTCGGATAGTGATTACCTGTACAGAGCATTCGCATGCGTGTGCAGTGTAAGAGGTTAGTCGCAAGGTCGCACAGGGGTCCGGGAGCTGCCACTGTACGAACATACCAGTACGGAGTGATATAGCATGCACCTGACACAGTCAGCAGTGCGCAGCCGTCAGCATCGGCACCGGCACCTGGCAGACAGGGAGGGTCAGTCCTCAATCCATCCCAGGTAGACGGATACGGGGGGGGGGGCGTGGAATCTGTGTATGTGTGTGAGCGAGTGAGTGCTGGGGTCATCTGCGCTGGATGATGAGAGCCTGCATGCTTCCTTGGCATTTGGTCTTTTTTTTCTTCTTCCCCTGATGCCTAGATATTCGTAGTGAGACTGGAACAGCACGATGATTGTGTGATTTTCCCGGGCGGAAAAGGGACCAGCTGACCTCGACTTGCATGCCTGGGCGGACCGGGGAGGGTTCGATCATGTAGCGTAGTGTGCGCGCTACGGGCAAGGGTTGGAATTGGATCAGACACATGGTGAGGGTGGTGATGATGTGAAGATTACGGTCAAGATTATTCCTGTGATGCAGAGAGGTACTTTGGGCCCTCAAGCGTAGATGGATACCTACCTAGGCAAGTACAGTATGAACGCTTCCTGATTGGGTAAGAACCCACATATTCGCACGCTTAGGCGGCTGACGTAAACAAGATGGGGTAATCTCTGGTACGGATTACGGAGTGGGAAAGAGTGTCTGGCCAGGCGGCCTTGATCTGCTGCGTGCCTGCCTTGGCCTCGCTACCAAACGGTGGAAGGGCCTGATACGGTGGGGTAGGGTACCGGTACCAGGGAAGGGGAACTCCAAAACGGTAAGAACAAAAGGGAAAAGGGAGGAAAAGAAAAAAGATGGGGCGGGCTTACGTGCACTCTTCATTGCATAGGTAAGGCAGTGAGTGAGTGTACGGGGTAGGGGAAAAGGGCCGAAGTAGCGAGATTGGACAATCGTCGGTATTTCGCGCCAATAGAGCGGGTTTCGTCCTAGACACGCAGTCGTATCGATCCAGCCGGAACCAGAATAAGGAAGCAAGGCGCCGATGGCATGGCTCCCGGACGAAAATAGCGTCGGCATTGCAACCCGGCTCTTCGTCTTTTCCTCTGTCTGTCTGTCTGTCTGTCTATCTATCTACCTATCAGCCTCTCTCTCTCTCTCTCTCTCTCTCTCTCTCTCTCTCTCTCTCTCTCTCTCTCTCTCTCTCTCTCTCTCTCCGTTCCCCTCCGCGAACCCATTCACCCCAGGTAGCCCAGGTTGGATGGCACTCGGGCGAGAAGAAAAAGCAATGGTATGCTGGTCCGCCGGTCAAGAGGCAGATATGCGACCGAGACACAGCCATCACCGGTGAAGACATCCACCGAGAGAGAAACAGGAAACAATGTTGTTCCCGTCACCTCATTGGCACCGGACCCTTGGGCCAAGACCGCTAGCAGCGCGGAGCACAGCGTCCCGAGGGTTGATTGATTGAAAGGCTGAAAAATGCAAGCCTCCCTTCTCCGTCTGTCCAATCGCCTCTCGGCAGCCCTTCCTTCGTTCAATGGCGTTTCGAACCGGCCGGCTGGAATTCCGTACGCGTCTCGTTCATTCTCATCTCGATGAACAGGAAATAAAAATAAAAACACATTTCTTCTCCTTCTGAAACCAATGTTCTACCAATAGTTGTTGGTGGTTCACGTCGACAGGCGTGTTGCACAACAAAACAAAACAACCAACCAACCAACCACCAGCACAAAAAAAACAAAAAAAAAACAAAGGCCGACAACACCATTGCCGGGTCGTGTTGTTTCTTCTTCCGTGTATACGTCCTCTTCCCGCCTTGGTTCTTCAGGTCGGTGGTGACCCACCCCACTTACTGGTCGGTCCCTTTCTCATCGTGACGTCCCGTCCGGCGCTCTGGGTTCCTGTTGATTGTTGACATGCAGTAGCGCGAAACCCGGACTCTCCTTTCGTTGGGTTATTTAATTCTTATTTTCTCTCTCTATCATCAGTAGGGATCATGGCTTGACAGGGGTAGGGCAGTCGGGCGTGTTGACGATAATAATCTCCGCCTTTGGGTTTTATTCTTATCGCATTTTGTTTCTACTGTTGCCCTCTCGCGAAGATAAGCTTTGCGAGCCGGAGTCAGGCGGGACAATTAGAGTGCGGACTTTTTTCAACAGACACAAGGCCGTACTACGCAAGGTCGTAGCAGCATCGGCAGCAGCAGAAGTGCAGCGACACGACGACGACGGTGTAGCAACCTCAGCGTCGCAAGACCTGCAGTGCAGAACTCTGGCCGTCGCAGCGGACACAGACCAAGAATAGCCATCTTGGCTTTTTTTGTTTTTGAGTTTGTTCTTTTTGAGTTGCGTCTGTCCGGCGGGAGGCAAAAGACAAGGCCAAAAAGTCCCGCGGCCGTGGATGGGTGACCCCCGGAACGACGGACATTTCGGAAGGGGACCCACTGTGGATGATGGAACTACTAGTACTACTACGTACGTATGGCGGAAGTAAATTGAAGAAAAAGGTGCCTAAGGGCAGAAACGGTCTGGTCGCTCACCCCTTCCCCTCCCGCCGTCTCGGTGAGTTACCTATCGACATGATGGACGGTGTGTGATAAGGCTGGGGGAGGGAAGGAAGGGATGAGATTAAGCATATGGGGTGCCCGGCTCCATCTGCATCACTAGTCATGACGTAAAAGTTACTTTTCCCCATTATCCGTACCCTTTCATAAAATCAAGGGTCTTGAGATATGCCGGAAGTCGCGTAGAGAAGAAGAGCAAAAGGCTTTCCCTAGAAGGAAAAAAAGAGTTTACACCCCCCCGTTGAGATATTGTAAAGATCGCTCACATTCGAAGTGGGGGCAGCAGTAATAGCAAGCAACATCGTGACCGCCTCTGGGTTCCGCCCCAACCGAACCGACCAAACAGCCCTCGCCGACACGGGCTGGGATAGGGATAGGAATGGGGATGGGGATGGCTGGAGGGAAGTCGGGAAATTGCCATATGGAGACCGAGACCGAGACCGTAGGGACACGGTATCCGAGAAGGAGGCGGTGGAGGTTTTTTTTCTTTTCCATTTTTCCATAATCGTTCCATGAGAACTTCCATGCATGGGGCTGACCAGGGGACCGGTACCGCATTCCTTACTGTTGGGCCCCACCAGCGGTTGCAATTTCCCCAAGTTGGACCGGGGAGGCCAGAAAAGAAAAAAGAAAAGATAAAGGGCAAAAAAAAAAGGCGGGTCAATTAAGGGCACGCACATGGGTTTCGGTTCCGTTCGTTCGCTGTTCCTGTCAAAAGTTCGCCTCCCCCTGGTTTCCGATGACGGGTGGGGAGGGGGGTTTAGGTAAGAATGCGATGATTGTATAACATCTCGTAAGCAGGAGATGAAAAACAAAGATGAAAATAACTGGAGAACCAAAAGAGAGAGGGCATGAGGTGAGACCTCGCTTCTTTCTCCCTTGTGTGGCCCATGCATCCATCCCCTGTCGAGCTGTTGTTGTTGTTGCTACTGCTAGATGGCTGATTTTTAATCGAGTCTCTGGACCCCTTGAAGTGCTGAGAAGTCATGTCCCGGTTTGAAGACGATCTGTTCTCTCTTTCCCTTGACCCCCTGTCGAGCTGTCAGCTGTCCGTTCGTCTTTGTATTTCCTGTGATTACCTACTACGTAGTAAGTGCCTACCGGTACGGATACTACGGCCGGAAATCAGATAGGCTGTGCAGCTAGACAGCCCTATTATCTGATGGACCAAGGTAAGCTCTTCCTCCCTAAGGGCCAACAAGTGGAGGCGCAGCAACAAGATTGCGCACGAATACTCTCTCAAAAAAGAAAAAGAAAAGCCCCTGAGGAATGTTATTTTTATTCCAAACCGCTCCGTACGTGCATACATATGCATCGTGAAGGTAGTGCGCCGTGTGGTGTGTGCGTGTGTGTGTGTGTGTGTGTGTGTGCGCGCGTGGTGTCTAAGGGGCGTGTTCCTGAAAAGAGCGGCGGTCGACCGAGATGCTGGTCCCGCCCGCCGTCTGCAGCAAGTAAAGTAAAAGCGAAGTGAAGGGAAGTGTAGGTAAAGCACGGCAGCAACGTCGGCGCATCGCATGTGCTGCTGCGCTAGGTATGTAATGTCGATACCCTCGCCCTCTCGCGCTCTCTCTCTCTCTCTTTTTGGCAAGTCCCCGTTTCTTTCCCAGCAACAATCCAAAACGCGCAGCAGTGTCGCAGGCTGGCCGCATACGTAGTAACATGCCACACTCGTACGTCACGTCAGCCGGCCGGCCGAGGTGTGGGCTCGGCCGGCGGTGCAAGGTCAAGGTCAAAAGTCAAAGCCAACTAAGTGCCGATGCTTCAAGCCGGCGTCAAACGTCAACGCAGCAGCGTAGGTATGCGAACTCTTGGGCGCGAGAGTCCTAAAAAGGAAAAAAAACACCAGATGATGAAAATCGCCGCGCAAGAAAGGAATCGGGAATTGGGCCGCGGAATCTACGGGCGTAAACGGACAAGGCTGAGTTGTCCGCCGAGGACATCCCCTTCGGCCACTTTGTTTGACGGCTTCGCCATATGTTTCTCCGCGTGGGAGGGGGGTCTAGAGAAGAGAATACCTACAGGTAGAAGGGTTAGGTGTTCCTGCCAATCTCGATGCAAGGGACAAAGAGCCGCTTTCTGGTTTGGAACCTTGGCTCGAGTTGAGACGAGCACTGCGTGAGAGAACAAGGAAACAGGGTTCGGGAAGATGAAGAGAGGATAAAAATGGAGGCTCTTGCTGTCTCGTCTGTCGTCGCCTCCAGATTACGCAGGTCACAACTTGACAGCGTCTCTGTAACCAGTTGATGAGGTGTCGTCTTCAGATCCGAGGGTGGTTGTCTCTAGTGTCGCGAGGTATAGTGACAGTACGCTATGCATAGCACGGGTACACTGTCCTGTGTCGCCCAGTACGTAAGCTACTTACTTACCTACTTGGGTGGTAGTAGTAGTAGTAGTAGTAGTAGTAGTAGTAGTAGTAGTAGTAGTAGTAGTAGTAGTCGTAGTAGTAGTAGTCGTAGTAGTAGTAGTAGTCGTAGTAGTAGTAGTCGTAGTCGTAGTCGTAGTCGTAGTAGTAGTAGTCGTAGTAGTCGTAGTAGTCGTAGTCGTAGTCGTAGTAGTAGTAGTTGTAGTATGTGTACCGTGGCTGAGCGGTGAGCGCGCTGCAATTTCCCAGACGGGTTGAGGTTGAACCGTAACAGGAATAAGGGCCAGGGGAAGCAAGGGCAGAGACGGAGGTGCCGAACACTGTCTCCCTTTTTTTCCTTCTTGTGTCTTGTTCTCGTACTCTTGGTACGGTATCCGTACTCCCCTCTGATGTGTACACGTCCAGTATCATGTCCTGACGCTGTAGTGTAGTCCTCCCCCTTCCCCCCTTTTTCTTTCTTTCTGCCCTTCACCACAGCAGTGTAAGTGTACGTGTACGGGGTACACAACCATGTAGGCAGCTTTACTACCGTATACGGTCTGGGTGAGGTGAGTTGAGTTGCCGTGTTGCCGCGTTGCTGGGCTGGCTGGGTTGCTTGGTGTGTGCCTGGGTAGTCGGACGAGGGGGCCTAGCAGGCTGTCAGCAGGCAATTTCTTGGACCCCATCGAGAGAATGATTAAAAAGCTTGGGGTGGATTATGGGTACGGTGGGCTTGCGAAGCGCTGCCATGCGCTAACAGACATCAGGCTGGCGCGACAGGGGCAGCACATGCCCAGAGCAGGACAGCCCCTGTCTGCATGCTCGTTTCATTTCCTGGCATTGCGGCGGTCAAGCCCCACGGTGACTCTGGCGATGCGTCACCGCCAGGGGGGCCAGAAAGAAAATAACGAAAGACGTGGAGAGGAACGGAGGGACACAGACGGAGACAGAGACGGAGACGGAGACGGGATCGGTGGATGAGACGAGAAAGACGTGGAGACCAAGTACCCCGAAACGGTGGGAAGGAGATGGTGGGGTGCATAGTCAACCGTTAGAAAAGGGGGGGGGGACGGAGAAAGAGAGAAAAAGACCAAGATGGAAACGGTACGTCTATCTGTACGTACCGAGCGCTACACTAGTGCCTGAGATTTTATCTCCACCGTCCCGGCCGACCATTCCTTCCCTTTTCCCCCCCCAAAAATGCGAGATGAAATATGGGAAAGTGCGCGGACGGACTATCTGGAGTACGTACCCGCCCACTTGCTTTGCCGTATCCAAAACTGTACCTGCCGTACGTACCTGCCTCACCTCACACCACACGCCACCACCACACACCACCACCACACACACTTGGGTGCACAATCAAACGGACGAGTCCTCCTCCCCCGTTCCACACACACACACACACACACACACACACACACACACACCGTCTTTGCTGCTGCTGCAACACCACCTCCGTTCCACAAACACCAGACGGACGCTTGCCCAGGGCAAGCTTTGGTTTTGGCACCAGCAAGGCCAGGTACAAGGGGTCAAAGTACTGACGTAGGTACATACATAGTACGTACCCCTACTCTTCTTCCCTTTCTTCACCTTCACTTTACTCCCACCCCCCTCCCCCTCCTCGTCCTTACCCCTGGACTCCCTCGCCAACACACACCCTCCTCCCCCTTCCACAGCGACGCCAGTGCCCGATCCAAGGTCGAGCTGGGCTAACACCCTTGCAAGGTTTCTGGCTGTTCCAAAATTGCAGAGTCTCGGACAGCGGACCTCTGCAAACAGGCACCGCCAGCCGAAATGTCCTCCCGCCGGCCGCATTCGTAGATACATAAGGCACCCGACTCCCTCCCCCTACCATCGTCTCTCGACCACATCATCATCGTCACCAGCCAATTCAGAAGACTACTACTACTACTACTACCACTACTACTCCAACTCACAACCGTTTGGTTACATACATCTCTCTCACGCCCTCACCCATCTCAAGATTCTTTGTCTACATTCCCAACGGCTCAGAACCCCTTACCACCACCGCATCTCCAAGGCTCTTACAAAACAGTCTTCGCAACCACCACTACCACCACAACAACACCAACAGCTTCATAGCTCTTTAGACAGCTTTCCACAGCTGTCCTAACACCGTCAAACTGGCTTCCGCAAACTTCGACTTCGTCACCATGCCTGCCCAGCGCCCCTCGCAACTGCCTCCCTGCCCCGGCCCCCCGCCTCAGCGCCCTCTTCCTGCTCTGCCCAACCGGGGTTAAAGGGTCTCAGGTCGACAACAGCCTCGCGCAACAAACAACCTGACAATGATCAACAACATCCCTGGCCTTTTGGGGCCGTGATCCGAGAAAACCACCACCCACCATTGCAGCTGCCTTGGGTGTGTCTTCGCTTCGCAGTCGGGTCAGATACGGACCAACGGGACACAACGCGACCCAGCAGGTCCTGTATTATCCATTGCGATCGAAAGCAACAACGTCTCGTCGGCCTGTCCGCCCTGTCAGCCGACATGGAACTGGACGGCTGACAGGATATGCACGCCATCCACGCATACCATGTGTTGGACATGCATGCATGCATCTCACTCACCCAACCAACCACAACCAAACCCGCACACCACCTTGAACGGAAGAACTCGCCAGCCTTCAGCCACCTTCGCCAAAACTCGGCTCAATGCAACCGCTCTCGAGAACCGGGCAGACATGACTATCCTACCTCCGTCGACGGGGCCACGAGTTGCCTTGGGGCCGTTTTTGCAACGAGCTTCTCTGCTAACCCCGTCCTCTTTCTGCTTTCGTGCCGGCCCGCGTCTCCAAGAGCTGGGCTCCTGCGCGCGATGCCGAGAACACGCAACAGCCCATACCGCCCACTTGGCTTCATCATCGATTGCAAGACACTTTGCAATATTACATCGCCTTACTACCTTGTAAAACAACAATCACCAACTATCTTTTAATCCATGACCTACCAACTGAACGAGCAAAGCATCATTACGGGACCCAGGAACACACACTTCAACGTCACCCCTCACGTATCGACGCACCACCACCACCACTACCTCCTCACCAACCCATGTATCATTAGAAGGGAGCACTGTCGGAGATGTTTCCCAACCCTTTCCATTTCCTCACTTTGTCGTCGCCGATACCCCCCTTCCCTTTCCTAGAAAGACGGATGGATTCGACGGAAAGTCTTAGCTATGAGCGATTATAAAAAGTTGGCCCAAGGAAGGGTCAAGGGAGTTTTGTTTTCGTCTTTCCTTTTCCGCCTTTGACGCGAGGGGGGATTAGTCCACTCAGCATTGGACGGGTTTCTATAGCAAAGTTATAATACCAAACAAATAATTCATTACAAGCAAAAAAAGAAAAGAAACTGCCATGTGATTCGCCCGCCTGATATGTGACGTGCCCTACCTGCCTGCCAATGCCCTCCGCGGATCTAACCGTATCGAAACCTCGCTACCGGTGTGAGGCCAGGCAGAAACGCTCCATCTCCAGCACATCATCTCATCCTCCCCCTTGCCGCCTGCTCTTCTGCGCATGAGGCGGCATGGCGCGAGGAGCCGCCGCCCCATGCGCGCACGACAAGTCGTCCTCGCTCTCCAGATTTCAAATCGTCTCTTCCCCTCCTCCTCCTCCCCCTCCCCCACTCACTGCTTGGCCGTACAAGACGCAGTAGCAGCGGGGCTGGCACTGGGACTGGGACTGGGGTGAGCCCATCTTCACCCTCCTCCTTTCCAAGACTCGAACCATCGTTCATCCGCCCGTCCCGAACACCGCCCACCCCTCCCCTCCAAAAGCGGGCGCCCGGCGGACGGTCATCCAGTGACTTCTTTATCTGTGTGTGTGTGTGTGTTTGTCGATGCAACGCTACGGTGCGCGGCGGGCCCACGAACGCAGGCGCCCCGCGCCTTCTTGTCCGTCCGTTCTGTTCTGTTTCCATCTGTCCTATCTGTCTGTCTGCTCGCCTGTCTGCCTGTCTGTCTACCTGTCTGTCTACCTGTCTGTCTACCTGTCTGTCTACCTGTCTGCCTTGCCAGTCTGGCATGTGGTCTTTGCCTGCCATACCCCCGGCCAGCCTTGGGGGCCAACTGAACACCACCACCTCTCCCGCCCGCCCAGTGCTACCCAACCAGGGCCAACACGCATAACCGACCCGTCCCGATCAGCAGCCGCACAGCACACCCTCACCTGAGCTCCAACATGGATGAGAGAGTGGTGACCAAGGCAAAGCGCTGACGGGTGGGCCTTTCCCCCCCTTCTTCTTCTTCTTCGCCCCCCTCTTTCCTTCCCAGTTTCTCGATTGTCACATCTGCTAAAAAGGAAAAAGGAAAAAAAACTACAAGGAGATAGATGGGTAGTATTCCCTACCCCTTGGCCATCACTGCCGTGGAAAATCCGGTATATCACAATATCTAAAGCTACTCTACCTACCCTGCGGGACCATCTCACGTCTTCGTAGGGGGTGCGTGATAGGTACATCTCCACGCTGGGTAGAATATCGACATCGACATCAACACCAAGGGGGTTATAGTGGTTGGTGGCTGAAAAGGGAGAGACATTCTGGGATCTTCCGTCACCTAACCCGCTTCTTCACAGCGACGTCCATGATTTCCTTCCGCCCCGCCCCTCCTCCCCCTCGGCCCCCATTTCGGGTATCAAGGGTATATATGGGACGGCCGCAACCGTCGGGGAGAGGGGAAGAGAGGCGCGGGTAGGGCGGCCGCGCAACTCTCCTCCGTCCAACGTTTGGTATTGCCAGCATCTGGTCGAACTTAATCCCACTCAGGAAGGGGGGGGGGGGGGGGATCCCGGGTTCGGGTGGTATGATCCGAATCCGGGACGTTTTCAACGATATTTGTCAATCTCAATTTAGAAACGTAAAGGCAAAGTGCCAGTGGCATGCAGCATTTGGGGGTTTTCTTTATTTTCTTTATTTTTATTTGACTTTGCCGCAGCTGCTCATCTCGCCTAGGTGCGGACGCAGGACTTATACATTGCCTTAGGGCGTCGCGGCGGGCGGACCGGGTTTGACCGGGGGGGAGGGGTCAAGGGGGGGGGGGGTTGCGGCTTAAGCTTCGCTCTCGTTGAGATTAGAAGCTTATACTCCTACCGCAGCTCTTGGTCCACGTCGCGTCCACACGACGTCGACAAACAGGGAAGCTGATGTGTGTGTATGTATGTGTGCCATTGGGTTTGCGGTAATCAAACTCTCATTGCGCTGTGACTTTGGTTTCTTTTTTTCTTCTTCTTTTCTTCCGGGGTTTTTTCGGTGGGGGGGGGGGGTTTCTCTTCATTCCCACGCTGGAACGAGGATTTGCAGGCCCGGCCGCATGATGGTACTTACATGGTTGTGCGGAACGGCTGGTCGCGCAAAAGTATGTTCCGCTTGGAACGGAGCAACTGTCCGGGCCTACCTGATCCGGCGGGTGGACGACAATAACACACATCAGGTTTTAGGCAAAATAGACTCTCGGAAACCCCCTTCTGGTGGGTTCTCGTATTTGGTTGGCACGCGACGAGGCTGAAGGCCCTTCTGGGATGGATGCATGCGAAAAGGGGGGGGAAGGACGGCATGTGGAACGTCGGACCCCTAAAGTTTCAAAGTCAAAGAACAAGAGAGAGAAAGATAAAGATAAAGGGAAAGAGAAAGAGAGGCTCGCAAACGTCGTTGGCGGGAATGGATGGGGAGGCTGCGCGGGATTCCGGCGCCGTCGTTTAAGCGTTTTAGGGGTCCCCTCCCTTTCCTCACTACGTCGCATAGGAGACATGCGCCTCGCTCGTGTCGGCAGGTCGAGGGCGGGTTGGCATGAAGGTGTAATTTCAAGAGACGGGCGCCACCATCCAGCCTCGACGTCCGTGGGTTCCCCCCCAAGGGAGAGCAGTCGGTAGAGGCCGAGAGGTATGAGCGTTGAGTGAAGCTTGCTAGAGGCGACGCGATGGCGTCGGCGCGAGGAGACGTCTCAGGGGAATCTAAACTACCTAATCGGAGCCGTCTCGTGGGGGACTCGCCGTATTCACTGGAAAGCCGCCCCCCCCCCCCCCCCCCCCACACCAAGGAGAATCAATGACCGCCCGTTTTGGGGACGTAATCCATCGTGGCGTCCGCCATCTCACATGTCCATCTATATTAATAACATGGATTCGCGTTCGACGGCGATTTGTCACAAACGGATGGGACGCTTTAAACTACTATGTATGTTGGACCGGGGTAGGGAGAGACCATGTACAGGACGGGATACTATACGATTGTCTGATATTGCTCAGGGACTCGGAGTCCGGCAAGTTCAACCAAAGGTGCGGGTAGAGGACGGCAAGACTGGATCACGTCGTTCCCCTTTTCATCGACGCGACGCCGCCGTCTTACCCCAGGAACCGGCCGGGAATGACCGACATGTACCACATCCCTCCGACACCGTCGTGGGTCTATGGCATCTGTGGACCGCCGCCTCCGCCCTCCCCCACTCGACCAACCGTTTGAATCTGTTTGGAACGAAGGGGGTGGAAGACATCGGGCTGCAACCAATCTTTCTGTTGCGTTTCCCAGCTCGAGAGGTTGTCGTTTACACTAGCTCTGGGCACCTAATTTGGTTGTTACCGATCATCAGGGCTGGCGGGTGCACGTCGATCGTGTCAATCCCCGTTTCCCCAGGCCGCCGCCAGGTTTCTGATCCGTCTGAAATTCGGACGAAATTAGATTGCGCCGAATTCCAATTGCCACACCGTTCGGTCGGTTGCAGAGGATTGGCGCATTCGGTGTCGCGTACCTGCCTTAGCGGTGGCGAAGGGAAAGGGGAGGTTCGTCCTGCACGCGGCTTTTCCTTCGTTGTCGCCGCCGTCGGGGCCCGTCCGTCTCCCTTGGGGTGATAGGTACCGTCGTCAAGAGGGCCTCAGGGGGGTGCTGTATCAGGCACTATACGTGAGTAGCGCGCATTATGCCAAGCTGGGCGCATCTCGTGTCGTCGGGCATGTTGCCGTCTTTTGCTTCGATCGACTAGCTTATGCGTGATGCTGGGTCGAGATACTCTCATCATCTACTTGAGGCGGCGTGTTTGGAGTCTTGGACCGGGTCGTCAAGGGGGGGGGGGGGGGGGGGGTTGTCAATTCTGTCCCAAAAAGGAAAACGCTGTTGGCGAATGTGGAGCTACCTACAGATACACAGTACGGAGTACATATCCGTACTCTGCATGTATGTACCTTCTCTTATGTAAGCGTTATCGATCATGGCCTCGCTTATCGCCACGTGAGTCCGCGCCGAGGTCGTACCGTCCAGGAAGGATTAGGTAGAGTGACGACGTGCGCTGTCTTCGCGCCGCTGAAGCGAACAAAGGCACTGGCAGGGGGGGGTGTCTGTTTTCTTCCTCTCCCGACAACGTTTCGCGCACGAACATCAGAACTACCTCTTGTGGTATTGTTGCCTTCGAGATCCTCTCAGAGTTTTCCGTCACAGACGTGCGTCGATACTGTTGAGTCACCCGCCAGGTAAAGCGCCTCCTTCCGTCACTCTTCAACAAAGTCCTTGCGCTAAGACGACGCTGTCCATTACATCAGGGTCCTGGAGGAGTGAGAGCCGTCTAGGGTCTGAGTACATTGAGTACCTCGGAACTATACGCCCGCGTCTGCTGCTGACGGTCAAGTCTACACGTCACTCACTCCCCATTCGCTCCCCGTTCACGCACAGCGCACGCATCATATCGTACGCAATATGGATATCCTGGAACTCCATGTCTGGGGCCCGGCCTTCGGCCTCCCCTCCATCGACGCCGAGTGCCTCGCCGCCATCGCATACCTCCACACAGCCCTCCCAAGTTCCCAATGGCGCCTGGTCCCAAGCAATGACCCTGCCGTTGACTCATCGAGTACGTATGCACGCCCTCATACACACTCATTCACACACACACACACACACACACACACACACACACACTCACTCACTCACTCACTCACTCACTCACTCACTCCACTTACACCGGCCCATTTACCCCTGTGTTTCCAATACCCACGCCCTTCTTACCGTTGAGGCTCGCCACTGCATGGACCTCACGCGACGTCTTCCCATCATGACGACTCGACACAAAGAGAATCCCACAAAGAACTGCGCGACGACTCACAAAGAAACACGTTGAAACAATGTTGCCCTCGCTAACGAACCCGCCCTACCAGACCGCCTCCCCGCCCTCAACGCCAACGGCGTCTGGGTAACGGGCTACACCGCCATCGCCTCTCACCTCGCCTCCCTCTCGCCGCACTCCCCCTCCTGGGACCTGGACCTGGACTCGCGCCTCACCCCGTCCCAGCGCGCCGACACCCTCGCCTACGGCGCCTACGTCGACGCCCACCTCGCGCCCCTCCTGGACGCCGCCCTGTACGGCACCCACGAGAACTGGGCTGCCGTCACTCGCCCCGCCCTGAGCCACCTCCTCGGCTTCCCCCTGAGCTGGACCGTCCCCGGTATGCTCCGCAACCAGGCCGTCGCCCGGTGCGCCCATCTCGGCCTCGGCTCGTTGGGCGCCGAGGACGACGAGTCGGGCGCCGACCCCCTGGGTAGCGCGCTGGACCGCGCGGTGAAGCACCTCCCCGTCTCCACCAGGAAGAGCGTCCTCGAGGAGATGAAGACCGGCACCGCGCGGGGCATCAAGCTGCACGCCATCACCGCCGACGCCTTGACGCCGCTGGAGGAGCTCCGCGCCCGGGGCGAGGAAACACCGGGGGAGAAGAAGCGCTTCTTCGGCGGCGACGTGGCGACGTCTCTCGACTGCCTCGTCGTCGGGTACCTCGTCCTCATTCAAGAGGTCGAGCTCCCCCAGCCCTGGCTCCGCACCATCTTCGAGAAGAGGTTCCCCCACCTGACCGCCATGGCCACCCACCTCCGCGACGAGTGCCTCACGGGCCCCGGCGCCCTCCCCTGGGTCGCGGCCCCCTCGTCGGCCCTCCGCACTGCGGCCCGCTTCCTCGACAACGTCGTGCAGGCGACGCCGAACCTCGGCGAGGCCTACATCCACGAGTGGCGGCGCCGCGCAGAGGCCAAAACCAAGGGCGTGGCGGGCCAGAGGACGCTCGCTCTCGCGGGCGGGGTGTTGGCGGCCGGTACTGCCATTGCGTATGGGGTGTGGGCGTACCGCAGCCTCCCGCCTTGGGGCTTGCGGACGCATACTTGGACGGCCGAGAAGAGGGGCCTGAACAGGTTTGGTGACCTGGGCGCCATGCTGGACTTCTCGCTGGGGCTTGCGGACCCAGTGCCGCAGGCGAGTCCGGCTGCAGCCGGATGGGGCGGGGGCTTCGGCTCGGAGCACAGAGTGGTTGAGTCGGAGCTGGCCGTCGACTAGAAGGCGAAGCACTGGCGTCAGGAGCGGCCGGTGGCAGGAGAGACGGTCTTGGCCAGGTACCAAACAGGATATCGGAAGGGCCGTCACGGATTAGTAAAGTGTAGAAGAAGAAGAAGAAGAAGAAAAGAAGAGCTGGGCAGGGCGCTCGCGACTCCAAATAGCCCATACAAGGCATGGGAAAAGGCACAAAAGTCTCCCAGTAGAACATGTATAATACTGTTTCGATTATCTTTGGTTTACATGAGCCGTCCGCCATACCCCTCCCCATGCTACCGTTTTATGCTACCAATGTCCGATTCAGAGTTCCCATATAATGGGGTGTTGCAGACCTCGGAATGATTTTCTTCTTTCTTTCCTTATCTTTTCCTCGGCGCCGCGTATAAAATCGACAAAAACTGCCCAGTCACACCGGTTTAGATCTGCCGGATCTCCTTCCCGACCATCTCGGGCCGCTCGACTTCCCACTCGTCGCGCAGCACCGCAAACGTCAGGTCGCTGACGAGCAAGCTCTGGCCCAGGCTCCACACGAGGGTGATGGCGTAGAAGAAGTTGGCGTTGCCGCTGCCGGCGTAGATCCACAGGTGGTAGAAGGCCGGGCCGAGAAACGAGGCGTACATGATGGTGGCGGCGCCGACGAAGGTGTAGCGCATGAGGGGGAAGACGTGGCGGAAGAGCGACAGCATCGCCAGGAACAGGCTCGTGTCGGCGATGGAGGGGTACGGCTTGAAGATGGAGAAGATGCCGAGCAGGAGGGTGATGACCACCAGTGGCTGGGAGCGGATGCGGACGGTCAGGGGGCCGACGTAGCTCGAGAGGTGGAGCCAGAAGACGGCGAGGAAGAAGGGGCGGAACGAGTCGAACATTTCAACGAAGAAGTACCACCACAGCCCCACGTTGGGCGTCAGGTCGTTGAGCGTCAGCTGGGCGCCGTAGGTGCTGGACAGGAACTCCCAGGAGCCGCCCGTCAGGAGGAAGGACATGAGGAACAGGGCGGCGAGAACGGCGGCCACGACGGCGACCTTGGTCAGGGCAAAGCGCGCGGTAGAAGCGACGCGACGTGAAGGATCCTGGCGGTCGTATGCAAGGAGCACGAGGGGCGGCAGAAGGAGCAGAGGGTACATGGAGAGGTAGGTCGCAAAGGAGAGGGCGACCATTGCGCCGAGGGGCGCACCGGAGATGGCCTTGGCAACAGCGTGGAGGATGGCGCATGTCGAGAAGACGGAAGTGGAGCGGCCGACACATGTTGCTATTGTGAATGGGTTGAAGAGGAAGCTGAAGTAGACAAGGGTCAGAAGGGTTCGGGGCGAAGGTCGAAAAAGGGGGAGGGGGAGGCCAAACTTACAGCGATGCGACGACGAGGCCACTCCACCTCTTGCCGCGGCGCGGGGAGGTGAAGAGGCGCGAGGACCCAGCCTCGCCAGAGTCGGCAATTCGAGAGAGGGCATCTGCGCTCAGGATGTCGAAGAGGACATAGAGGAGATGTGTGAAGATGGGGAGCGACTTCGGATCGGGGAGCAGCGAGAAGAGGGGGAGGAAGAGGGGCGCTTGGTGGTAGACGCCGCCGTCGTAGGGAGAGACGTTGTGATTGTAGAGGAAGAGGCCTTCTTGTACTGCGCATCGACCGTGTCGTTAGCAAAGCTGCTCTCAGTCGGCAGTCGTGGGGGGGGGGGGGGGGGGACCCGATTGGCACTTACGTCGCTTGAAGCTTGTCACGGGGGTCGAGATCTCGACGCGGCCAGTCAGCAGATCAGGCAGACCGGGGAACGCAACAAAGAGTAGTAGACGCAGCGCCGCGGCGGCGGCGTAGACACCCGTCTTGTTGCCTCCCTGAGTCATTGTACCGCCGGTCATATTTCAGTCCATGGCCCGGAGGAAAAGGGAGGGGAGGGAAGAAGAGACGAGACAAAGGGCGGGCCGGAGGATCGCGGGATGTCGAAGGACGGGATCGCGGAGCTTGCAATTCGCGGGTCGGTCGTTGCAATTCGGACGCATGAGGTAAGGGACGGGGACGGGGGTGACTTGGAGGTGGATGACACCTGGCTGGACCGGGGGGGCAAGGAGCTCTGTCAGCGAATAGCGACCTTGCTTCCAGCACAGTTAGTGGATTGAACCCCTGGAGCTGGAGAAAGTCTGCTGATTAGATAACAGCAGCCAATCAGAAATCATACCAGATACCACTAGTCTCGTCCCGGCAGACCCTCGGGCGGTCAACCACCGGCAGAAAATTTCAATGGAAAAAAAGTTCAGAGAGAAAGTCGAGAGCGGGTGCCCCGCCACGGTCAGAAGTCCTTGATAGCTTCCAAACACCCGTCGTCAACTCCCGACGCAACACAACCACGCCAGTCAGCAAAAGAAAAATCAGCAAAAATGGGCAAAATCAAGAAGAAGGGCCAGGCCGGAGCGGCCAAGAACTATGTCACGAGAAACCAGGCCATCCGCAAGCTGCAGATCAGCCTGCCCGACTTCCGCAAGCTCTGCATCTGGAAGGGAATCTACCCTCGCGAGCCGCGCAGCAAGAAGAAGGTCTCCAAGTCCTCGACCGCCTCGACGACCTTTTACTACGCCAAGGACATTCAGTACCTCCTGCACGAGCCGCTCCTGCAAAAGTTCCGCGACCAAAAGGCCCTCGAGAAGAAGATCTCGCGCGCCCTCGGCCGTGGAGACGTCGGCGATGCGAAGCGCTTGGAGAAGAACGCCTCCCGCTCCGAGGAGACTGGCAAGCCGCGACACACCCTCGACCACGTCATCAGAGAGCGATACCCTACCTTTGTCGACGCCGTCAGAGACCTTGACGACTGCCTCTCCATGCTGTTCCTGTTCGCCAACCTGCCCTCGACCTCGTCCGTCCCCGCCAAGATGATTGCGCGCTGCGAGCGCCTCTGCCTCGAGTTCCAGCACTACCTGATCGTGTCGCAGAGCGTCACAAAGTCGTTCCTCTCCATCAAGGGCATCTACTACCAGGCCAACATCCATGGCGAGGACGTTTTGTGGCTGGTACCCTACAAGTTCAACCAGAGGATCGTCGGCGACGTCGACTTCCGCATCATGGGTACTTTCGTCGAGTTCTACATGACCCTGCTGGGCTTCATCAACTTCCGCCTGTACACCGGCCTCGGCCTCAAGTACCCGCCCAAGTTTGACCAGGACAAGGATAACCAATCCGCCGAGCTCGCCGCCTTCACCCTCGAGGGCCAGAACCTCGCCGCACCCGAGGAGAGGAAGCAGATCACCAACGGCGAGACCCAGCACAAGGTCGACCCCAAGACGCAGGCCGCCGTCGACAAGGTTCTCAAGAAGCTCAAGAGATCCGGCGCCGACGAGGAGGAGGCCGCGACGGAGGAGCAGACCGAATCCACCGAGGAACCCACCAACGCCATTGACAAGTTCGAGCCTGTCGCGCCCGGCGGCGACGTCCTCCCCCAGCCTGAGCACTCCAGCTCTGACAGGGCCAAGCTGTTCAGCAACTGCACATTCTTCCTTTCCCGTGAGACTCCCAGACAACCTCTCGAGTTCCTCTTGCGTGCGTTTGGCTGCAAGCGCATCGGCTGGGATGCCGTTCTCGGCGAGGGTGCCTTCACCACCGACGAGCGCGACCCCTCCATCACTCACCAGATCGTCGACCGTCCCCCGGTGTACGCCGCGAACAATGAAGGAGGCGATGGCGAGGACAACCAGACATCCCAGAAGCTGGCGCCCAACCAGCGCATCCCCGGTCGGATATACGTCCAGCCCCAGTGGGTCTGGGACAGCGTCAACGATGAGGAGCTGAAGCAGCCGGACCAGTACGTCCCCGGCGCGCAGCTCCCCCCCCATCTCAGCCCCTTCGTCAGGCAGGTCCAGGGTGCCTACGACCCGACTGTGCCTCTCGAGGAGCAGGAGACCGAGGGCGAGGCCCTTGCCGAGAGCGACGACGAGATGGACGTCGACGAGGCGGATGCCGGCGACATGGACGTCGCTGGTTCCGAAGACGACGAGGATGACGAGGAGAACGAGGGTTCCGACTTTGACGGTGCCTCCGATGACGAGGCAGAGGCCGAGTCCGAAGACGACGACGAGGCACAGCGCCAGCGCGAGCTCGAGGCCGAGCTTACGGGCGGCGCCGTCAAGGCGAAGGAGACCAAGCCCAAGACCAAGAAGGAGGCTGCGCGCAAGGCGCATGCCAAGAAGATGGCCGAGGAGGCCGAGGATATCGAGCGGGCCAAGGGCATGCTCAGCAAGAAGAAGAGAAAGCTGTTTGAGCAGATGCAGTACACAAATAACAAGAAGAGCGCCGAGGACGAGAAGCTGCGGGCCAAGAGGAGACGGCTGGAGAAGCAGCTCAACAAGAAGGCCAAGGCGTAAAAAAAAGCAAAAAAAGCAAAGAGCTTGTTCTGTGATTTATAGAATGTAGTAGGGCGTTTGTTATACCATAATTGTGGTGTTGGGAAAAGAAATACAATGCTTGATTTGAGGCACTATGAGACATAAAACAAAACAAAACAAAACTAGGGAGCCCCGACGAAGACCGTTTGTGATGTTTGGGTCGAGTCCTGCGGGACGTGAAAGCCGCTTGACTTGAGGTGAGTTTCGGTGTGTTGTGGGCGGGTCCCGGTTTTTCTTCCTTCTTCACCTTCTGCTCAACCCACTCAAATCGGCTGCCTTTTAGATGCTCGATACCCTGCTCGTTTTCATTTGCGTGCCTGCATATACACATGGCGTTACAAAGCTCTGATTCTATGACTTTCGGACGAACTTTGTCATTCTTATTGAGCCATGGCGGCAAACGAGGAATCCTGGGACCTCGACACCGATGAGATCCGTTCAGTTGACTCGGAAGAGTTGTATGAGACCAGACCCAATCGCTGGAAAGGCAACAGGTCAACATGGTACACGTACACGCAGGAGGAACGGCTTCTGTACCGCTCCATGGAAAAAGAGCGGGACCGAGATCTATCGGTGCATCTCTACAACGCATTTGCGCTCAAGCACCGCCCGGTGCGGCCAACGGCAACAGCAGAACCTGATGCAGAGGTGAGCAGCAGCGTCGGCAAGACACGGCCCGCCCGCATCGCTGACCTTGTCATCATCTAGGATGCCGATAGACCGCTTGAAGAGATTGTCGACAGCGGCGAGTGGCGCCCGCCGAGCCTCTGGACGGCGTGGCCGATGAACCCGCAAACTGTGCCGGGCGACGATTTCCTTAAGGAGACCCATGATGAGGACGACAACTTCACCATCCGCCACAGGCAGGCGCAGCTACCCAGCACGGCCCTGGAAGAAGAACTCACGGCCACGATTCTGCGCCAGGCCAAGGAGCGTTTCCAACGCCGACAGCGGAAGTACCAAGAAAAGGAAGCTGCCAGGGCCCAGGATGATACCGGCCGCGAAACGACTGAGCCGTCGTGTCCGTCTGCCGCCTCGTCCGACGACGAGAAGGATGTTCTCTCGGATGAAGGAGAGACCAAAGCAGAGCCCGATGAGGACGCGGAGATACCGAAGCGCGCCAAGACCTACGAGGCAGTCGTATCCGCCGACGACGACCTCTCTGCAGACCTCCTACGCCCGTCCGTCCGCCACATACTCTCCACACTCGACAACACTCTCGCCGCGCTGCACAACGCCCGCCTCGCCGGCCTGAGCTATATGACAGACTCCTCCGCCTCCGCCACCGAGGGCGACGCGTCCGATGCCTTCTCGGACGGTATTAGTGTAGCGTCCGCAGTGTCGCGCGCGTCGTCCGCCACCAGGCGCCAGAGGAAAGGCGCACCGCGCAGCAAAGCGCCTCGAACGCCCGAGCCGGAGAGACCTTCTACGGAAAGGCGGGGCAGGCCGAGGAAGGCGTTGGTCCCGCTGCCGGGGGAGACGGAGAAGGAAATGAAGATCCGGATCGCACGGGAGCGGAAGAAGCGCATCCCGTACTCGTCAGACGAGGAGGTAAATGATGGCAAAGAGGGCGAGGGGGAGAGGAAGGAGCCGGAGACGGAGGCGGAGGCGGAGACATCGCGGTCCAGGTCGCCGCGCAAGAAGCGGGATCTGCCCCCCGAGACTCGGGCTGGAGCTAAGATCAGAGCCAGGGAGTCGATGCTGGGCAGCTGGGGACTGAGAGACTGGAGCGATGTCATGGGAGCGGCATCCCTTGCGGGGTTCAAGCCAGAGGTGGTGGCCAGGGCGGCGCAGCGGTGTGCGGATCTTTTCGGCCAGGGAATGGAGATGCAGACGCTCCTCGAGGGGCCGCCTTCTGAGAGACTGAAGCCCCAGGGGACTCGCTACCTCCCCGGCAGCAGCCGCCGCCAGTCTCCCTCGTTATCTAGTTCGGATTCCGAGGTTGAAAGACCCGCATTGCGACGTCGCGTAGTGTCTAGACAGGGCAGCCTAGCACGGGACAGCGTTCCGCCTAGTGACTCGGACGCTACTCGTGGACGGGGTTCCCGTACGCCGAGTCGGGGCCGCAGTACATCCCGTACATCCTCTGTCGGTCTCTTTTTCTGTCCTGTGGCGGGATGCCCGCGTGCCGCTGAAGGCTTTGGCAGAAGAACAAACCTGCAGCGGCACGTGGCTAGGTTTCATCCTGGACAGGCTGTGGAGGTGGACGTAGAGAGCGAGGACGAGATGTTTGGTGCAGTGCATGTGGACGGTTTCCTGAAGCCCATCCGCGCCAGGAAGGGTTGGAGAGCAGAAGATACGGGCACGAGGAAGCGGAAGAGGCACTATCGCGGGCGGAGGGTGGATGAGAGTGACGCAAGTGATAGGAGTGGTGTTGGGGAGGAGTCGGTTTGGGATTCCAGCTGATGAAGACCACATACATCACGAGACCAATATATAATGAGCTCATCTTTATATCCCGCTTCCAGAGCTTGTGTAGTAATCGAGACACATGTCATAGTGGTTTGAGGTGTTTCCATTCCGGAGTAACCAGCGCATGAGTTGAATAGTCCGGGGCTGGTTACGATGCAGACTTGGCTTATACTATTGTGACCCTGCCTGTGGAGAGGGCGCCTTCACAAATTACTGCGATAACGAAACACATTAACATGGTCTCATTGTTATCCAATATTCGAGCCTTGTTAAATTCGTTTGAGTTGCTGATCACGCCTTTGGGTATGTATGATGCCAGGCAGTTGAAGCATTAATAGACCCTCGCACACACACAGTCTGAAGTCAGACTCGGCAACCCCGCACAGGGCGCGAACTGTGCGGACACTGTCCTCGTCCCCACATTAAAATTTCCATGTTCATCGCATTTCCCAGCAAAGGCATTTAGATTTAGACCTTTCACTTGAGAAAAAGAAGAAAGGAAAAAAACTAAACTGCACGAGCAACCATGGATATCCTCAAAGTCCTGTCGCGCGGCATCAAGCAGCCCCCCAGGGGCGCCAAGGGAACAAACAAGTCGGCAGCGAACCTGCCGTCCGCTGGCAACCGGACGAACCCCCAACTCTTCCACGACGAGGTGCCGTCGGCGCGGGGCCACAAGAGGAAGCGCGGCAAGGAGGAAGTCGAGGAGAAGGAGGAGGAGCAGCTGCCCGAGGTCGACTTCTTCGCGCCCAAGCCCGACCCCTCCGAGGAAGCAGACAAGGCCGCCGCCGCCGCCGCCGCCCCGAAGGAGAAGAACGCCGCCCTCTCCGCGCCCGCCGTCAAGCCGAAGCTGCTCCCCGAAGACGAGTGCCGACAGATCCTCCGCTCCCACCGGCTGAAGCTCACCCTCCTCTCCGAACGCCACAAGAAGCCGTCCAAGGTCACCAAGAGCAAGAAGAAGAAGGTCGCCGTCGAGGCCGAGAAGGAGACAAACCAGCTGCACCCGCAGCCGCTGACCACCTTCCGCCAGCTCCGGACGAACTACGCCATCGCGCCGCTGCTGGCGGACAACCTGGCACACCAGGGGTACAAGGTGCCGACAGAGGTGCAGCTGGGCGCCCTACCGCTGCTTCTGCAACCGAAGCTTGCCCTGAAAGAGGTCCCCAACAGGAAAGAGCTCGGAGACGTCTCCAAGGGCGTCGACTTCCTCGCCGTTGCGCCGACAGGCAGCGGAAAGACGATCAGCTTCCTGATCCCCGCCATCAACTCAATCATGAACAAGAGGGCTTCTGCCGAGGACGACGACAGTCACGATCTATCCGCCATCATTATTGCGCCGACGAGGGAGCTTGTCTTCCAGATTGTCAATGAGGGACGCAAGCTAGCCCAGAACTCCGGCATCAAGGTTGCCGGCATGAAGAAGGGCATGCGCGTCGCCGTCGAGGAAGAGGAGAAGTCCGAGAGCGAGGACGAAGAGGAAGACGAGGAGAAGGAGGAGGAAGAGGGCGGCGAAAAGTCTGAAGATGACGACGAGGACAGCGAGACGGAGCCCGCCAGGGCAAAGTCTGTCGTCAAAGTGGACATCCTCGTCACGACGCCAGCGCTCTTGTTCAATTTCCTCTCGTCGGGGTCGCCCAAGACGAAGCGCAAGCTTCCGACGGTGACGTCTCTGATCTTGGACGAGGCCGACGTACTCCTGGACCCTTTGTTCCGTGAGCAGACCATGGCCATCTGGTCCGCGTGCACCAACCCCGAGCTGAGGACCACCTTCTGGTCGGCGACCTTTGGCTCCAACATTGAGACCCTGGTCACCGAGGCGCAGTCGGCAAGGCCCGAGTCCAAGCCCCTGATCCGTCTGGTGGTCGGCCTGAAGGACACGGCCGTTCCCAACGTCACCCACAAGCTCGTCTACACGGCGACGGAGAAGGGAAAGCTCCTGGGTCTCCGCCAGCTGCTCCGACCCACGGCTGGAGACGACTCGGGCCCGCCGCTGCGGCCTCCGTTTCTGGTCTTCACCCAGACCATCGAGCGCGCGACGGCCCTCGCGGAGGAACTCAAGTACGACATCCCACTGGCGGCCGGTGGCTCCGACAGGATCGCCGCGCTGCACAGCGGCCTCGCAGACAGGGCCCGCGCGGACATCATGCGCCGCTTCCGCGCCGGCGAGGTCTGGATCCTCATCACGACAGACGTCCTCGCCCGCGGCGTCGACTTCGCCGGCGTCAACGGCGTCGTCAACTACGACGTCCCCGGCTCCAGCGCCGCCTACGTCCACCGCGCCGGCCGGACAGGCAGGGCGGGCCGCGAGGGCGGCGTCGCCGTCACGTTCTACACGGCGGACGACATCCCCTTTGTCAAGAGCGTCGCCAACGTCATCGCCGCCAGCGAGAAGCAGGCCGGCAAGACGGGCGACCAGGCCAACGTCCAGAAGTGGCTCCTCGACGCCCTGCCCAACGTGAGCAAGGCGGACAAGAAGAAGCTGAAGGAGAAGGGCGTCGAGGCGAGACGCAGCCACGGCGCTGCCATGATCTCGTCCCAGAGCAAGTGGGACCGACGCAAGGAGTCGAACATACAAGGAGCCACCGCGGCGAACAAACAGCGGATCAAGAACGCCAGAAAACTAGGCGGGGATGAAGGAGAAGAATGGGGTGGCCTCGATGACTGAGCAGCTATTCCAGAGTCGACCACCCACCCCGGGGGACGTCACATGTAGATACCCGACCATCATGGCTCGTGATTCTCGCGAACGCAGCTGTAGAAACCTAATGATACACCGCCATCTCGTAGGGCTAACTCCCCGGTGCCCCTGGGACCGCAACTCCAAACACATTGTCTAATCCACCGTCCGCGAAATGTCAAGCACCTCTCGTATCGTCTGCAGGCGCTTTCTCAGCAGGTTTCCTCATCAGTATGTCAAAACCCCCGACTTCGATCCTCCACTTCGCGGCCGGGCACCCTACATCTCCAATCGCGATAGGCGCCCTGCGGCATTGGCAGCGTCACATCCGCGCCTCGGCCGAGTCGCGCGAGCCGGGACAGCACGCTTGCGAGACCGTGTGGTGCAACACCTTGTTGTTGCTATTGTCCAGGACGCGTCCGCGCGGGCGCTGCAGTCCCCCGACAACCGTATCTTTCCAGAGCATGGTACGGCCTAGGTGGTCGCGGGCACTGACGTCGACCCCGTTGGCCACGAGGACTCGCAGCAGTGCATGATGGAGGACGCGGTCGTCAGGGTAGAGCGGGCCGCTGTAAAAACTTGTTGGTGAGAGGAAGACGGTTACGGCGTAGTCTTCTGTATGGGATCAGTCGCCGCTCGCCAAGGAAGTCGACGACTCGTTCCAAGCTCTGATCAGCTTGTAGGCGCAATAACTCTTTGGCGTAATAGGCCCAGTCGGCCAGGTGCTGTGGGTCAACGCCTTCTTTCAGCATCGATTCAACGAATCGCCTCGAGACAGGTCGAAGCTTTCCGAGCCTCGGGATGTCCATGGGTCGTCTGGAAGCCTGACACAATCGGCAGAGGCTCTCGAAACCCCCACCCCCAAGGCCCTTTCCAGCAACCGTACCTGGGATGTAATCTTCAAGGACACCAAGCCGAGAAGGAGATATACTCGGTGCGCATGACAAGCTTTGGTGTTGCTCAGTATCAAGGCTTTGGCGATGCAGCGTTGAATCTGGCCTTCGTTCGGCCTTGTTCAAACTGGAGACAATGAAATTGTACCAAAAGACTCCGTGTTCACCCGGTTTCATGCTGGTTATCTCCTCCGCCACATCCTCGGCTGTTTGAGAACATAAGTGAGACCTCGAATAATGCGGTATGGCCCTCAGTAGCTCGCATGAGTCTTTTATCGCAAAGGGCTGGACCGGTTGCTGGCCAGGGCTTGCCCATCGGAGGGATGGCTCCATGACGCCTGACAAGGCGGTTTCATCCGTTCATGTCGTGGCATACTTGAGGCAGGTGGTTGAAGTTGATTGCAGTCTGAGAAGAGCAAGTGTTTGAAAGGTAGTAGTCTGACGATGCGCGATGAATGAACGCCGTTGCATTCAGGCGATCATGCCCGATAATGAGAATTAACTTACGCTGCGTTACACATGTTTCTCTCGCATTGAGGACACAAAACCATTAGACGTTTGTTCTTAACTTGATAAGATGTTTCGCGGTCCAAGGAACTGATGACACTCAGCTCTGGCATAGTTGGTTCGGGAATCGTCGTAGGGTAGTCTCTTTGTGATGGCGATAGTAGCGTCTGTAAGCTGTGTCACTTTTCTTGGTAGTCTTCTAATGACACCGGGGTCCCAGCCGGAATGCCGGTTACGCTCTGCAAGGCCGCCGCGTTGAGGATCTACACGTTGATGAAGCGACTATTCTTCCAGTCCCAGCACTGGTGAGAGGAGATCCTGTAGATCTGTTGCGGATGCCTTGTCCCGGCTCCTAAAGACATTTGCCAGTCAGAAGTAAACGTTTGTCGATACATGTTGGCACCTCTTGCCCTAACCAGCATATCCCCTCTGTTCCGCATATCCCAGTCAACATAACCCTACCGGTCGTCTACGGGCGGGCCACGCTCAGTGGAGGGATCAGTCAAGGGCCCAAGTAATAAATTGGTACACACAATAAGTGGCTTGTCATTTGCCAAGGTATAAGACGCGGGTACAGAGCTGAGCGAGCATTGTTGGACTGGCCAACTGTGCCCAGAATTCAATGATGAAGGCTCCAAGTCGAATGCCCATTCGGTACATTTGTTTTTCATCGTGCGTTTATTGCAGTGTCCGCAACCCAAGTGATGGTGGTGTAGACGCTGTGTGGCGAGAGAACCCAGGCTAAGATGTGGAGAGCAACATGGGGGGCTCTTTGATCGCATTACGTTCATCTACGACAATCTTCATATGAGCAAGTCCAGAATTCACAGTGTGTAGACGCGCACCGCCTTCCAATATCTTAGCTCGGTGATTGACCTTTTGCAGGATGTTCTGAACAGTTGAGATGCGGTGGTGGTTGCTATCCATAGGACTCCATAGCGGCTGCTCTGGCCTATAGGTAGCATCAGAGAAATCAAGTTCGACGTCGTCCAGAGTCTTGATGACAGGGTCAAAGTCTGCCATGGCAAGCACGTCGCCAACTCTGAACCCGAGATCCTCAGCAGTGGAGTCGAGACGCAGCGCCTTTCCCAAATGTTAGAGGCCGTTGAGACTGCGGAACTCAGCCGGGTCCCTGAGCCGACATGCGGTATTGAGTCAGATCCCACCCATGAACTCGTGCCCGCTGACTCGATGTTCGGCGGAATAGTTCCATCCCAGTGGCATGGCGACAACCTGTCTGATGCTTCTGTCGGCGGATCGATACCAGTACAGCCTATGCTGTCCAGGGCAGAGGATGTAATTGGCGCTTGGCGTTGGGGAAAAGGTGTCACCTTTCGAATTCAAGTCTGAGGCGTCAACTGCATCAGGGAACCCGCAAATATATTCGTGCCCTGCGCGGCTGTTAGATAGGAAATATCCGAACGTTGTTTTCTTACCATCGTTGTTCAGGAGGGAGATGATTTCATACAACGGGGTATGACGAGGCGTTATGACTTCCTTGGTCGCCCGCGTTGAAGGACTACCTGTCTTGAGCCCCTCTATACCCAGTTTCACAGTTGAACGATTGGTATGTTCAGCTGATCCCGCAGATGGAAGAAGGTCCAAAGGCTCTCCGCTTGCAAATGCTACAGAACCATCTTGGTCTCCCCCAGAGGCAGTCCATGTTAAACGCCAATCTTCGAAAGACAGGAAGTTTTCGTGCCAACGACAGTGTTTGTGAGCGGTAGTCGTCGTCATCGTCGTCGGTATCGAACATGGAGTGCAAACCCCCCATCAGAAGTGTGGTCTGCACTCGCACACGCTGGCTGTGTCGATTCTTCGGATATTGATAGCCCCTGGACAACATTGAAAATCATGACCAGGATCTCAGACTGACCCGCCACCAAGCAGGTCCCGGAGAACAGACATCTCAGAAGGGCTCTATCATCTTAGGGTGGGTGATGGTGGCGCTTACTGCATCGCGATGAGCAAAGTCACGTTCTGGCTCTCCAAGACGGCATGCAGCCTCTCGATCTCCTTCAACGTCTCTTGTCGGGACGATTTATGCTGAAGCCTCCCGAGAGAAAGTCCAGACCCCCCGGATGGTTCGGCAAGAAGCCCAGAAGATAGTTTCGGGTGCAGCTTGCGAAAGTTGATGCCGAGCTCGCGCAGAGTCTCGGCGCCAGGGTCAATGGGCTGCCGCTGTTTTCTTTTTCTTTCTTTCTCTTTGGGATGGGTGAACTCGTGAGCCTCGTACGCCCACATAACGTTCCTTATTTTCCCGAGTGTCTCCTTGAGGATCTGCATCTTGCTCCGGAAGGACGAAGACTCTTGGTTTGTGTACCAGTCGCTCATCGCCTTGACTAGTTTAGCGGTAGACGTGGTCAAGGTTTTAAGGCTAGCGACGCTGTTCGCGATAGACAACGGGCCCGTTATTAGCTCTTGCACTCGTCGAGTCTCGTTCCTGTGAATAGGTTTACAAGACGGCAGTTCATTGAGAGATGGGAAAAAGAATGGTGTGGGATAGCGCTTGAAACACTCGGAGCTGGGAATAACAGAATATAAATCATTTTCTGACTTATAGTTTACATTCAACGGAAGGGTGGCCGAGTTGGTTATGGCGCCAGGTTAAGGTCAGCTTAACATCTGTTTCCTGGTGGGGCAACCCGCGCGAGTTCGAGTCTCGTCCCTTTCATTTTTTCCCCTCCAATCTTTCTTCCACCACGACGTGGGTGGCGTTCTTATTTTTTATCTTATTCCACACCCTGACCGTCTTTCTGTATACTAGAAATTCCCTAATAAGTGGGCTCCTGGGCGCACTACCACATGTAAGTCTCACGAGGGATCAGTAACTTCGAGTTTGTAATATTCGTCATTGTGCGCCGGCCAGGCCAACGCATCAGGGAGAAGGATGGAGCTATATATATACAAAGGAGTACGGGTACTGATGCCGGCTGAATCTGCGTTGCTCCCTCTCTATGATCCTACACCAAGCCACTGGGGTCCTAGACATTTCCATCCGACCGCTTCTGCCATGTCTATGTCGCGCCGCACCGTTTACCACTCGGCCACCTCACCGGCCTTGGGCGGCTGGACTCTGACGACCTTATCGCAGTTGAGCAGGCAGAGGGGGTCGAGGGCCTTCTTGATCTGAGGAGAACCTAGCGTCAGCATCCGAGGCCGATTTTTATTCTCTCTTCTTTGTTCTGGGTGGCTTACCTGTCTCATGGTGTCGACTGTTGACTCACCGAGCTCGTGGGGGAGGTAGTCTCTCTTGACGAGACCGACGCCGTGCTCGCCCTATCGGGTGAGGTCAAAGTCAGCATTGATTGGGCTCATTAAAAAGAAGAAAGAAAAAAAAACTACTAAAAAAACTGGAAAAGCTCACCGTGACGGTGCCCTCCATCTCGACGGCCCTCTTGACCATGTTGTGGACCAGGTGCTCGGCCCGCTTGCGCTCCTTGTCATTGTACAGCAGAATGGTGTGGAAGTTGCCGTCGCCGACGTGGCCGACGATGGTGCCGAACAGCCCGCTCTTGCTCATGGCCTCCTTGGTCTCCTCGATGATGTCGGGCAGCCGGCTCATCGGCACGGCGACGTCGCCCGTCCACACGTGGTCGCCCTCGCGCTTGACGGCCATCGTGCTCCACAGCGCCTCCTTCCGCGCGCTCCAGAGCTCCTGCTGCTCCTCCTCGCTCTTGGCGAAGTCGAACGTCTTGCTGCCGGCCTGCGCCGCCAGCCGCTTCACCAGCGCCACCTGCTCCTTGACGCCCAGCTCCGTGCCGCCGAACTTGAAGAAGAGCGTCGGCGCCTCGGCCCACGCCTTGGACGTCATCTCGGCCTTGTTGATGCACTGCATCTGCAGGTCGTCGAGGATCTCGACGGCCGCCACGGGGATGCCCGCCGCGACCACCTTGGCGACGCAGTTGGCCGCGTCGCGAATCGTCGGGAACGCTGAGACGGCGACCGACGTGAAGAGGGGCTTCGTCGTCACCTTGAGCGTCGCCTCGGTGACGAGGCCCAGGGTGCCCTCGGAGCCGATGAAGAGCTTGGTGAGGTCGTAGCCGGCGGAGCTCTTGCGCGGGCGCTGGCGCGTCTTGATGACGGTGCCGTCGGCCAGCACGACCGTCAGGCTGAGAACCCACTCACGCATGGTGCCGTAGCGGTAGGCGTTGGTGCCGCTGCAGCCCGTGCCGATCATGCCACCGATCATGGCGCCCGGACCCGGGTCGGGCGGGAAGAAGAGCCCCGTCTTGGCGAGCTGGTCGTTGAGCGCCTCCCACCCGACGGCGGGCTGCACGACAACGTCGAGGTCCTCCTGGTGCAGCTGGAGGACCTTGTTCATGCGGCCAAAGTCGATGGAGATGCCGCCGCGGGTCGGGGTGAAGTGGCCCTCGAGACTGGTGCCGCCGCTGTAGCCGACGACGGGGATGCGCCGCTGGTGGCAGATCTTCATGATCTCCGAGACCTCCTCAGTGGAGCTGGGGAACACGACGCAGAAGGGCCGCTCATCGGGCTTGGCCGAGTGCGACGACCACTCCGAGTTGGCGTGGAGCTCAATGTCCGTGGGCAGGGTGCTGACGTGCTCCTCGCCCACGATGTTGACGAAGTCGGTCCAGGCGGCCTCCAGGTTCTCCTTGTTCAGCTTGTGGACCGGCGCGATCGTCTGGGCCAGCGGCAGCGTCGAGTTTTCGCTGGGGCTCGGGGGGACGAGTGTGCCGAGGTAGTACGAGACGCCCATCGTGGTGAGGAGCACTGCCGGCACACGAGAGCGTTAGCTACTGCTGCCCAGACGTTCAGCTTCGAACTCACCAAAGGTGAAGGAGAGGTTCCTGCCGTTGCTCGTCTTCTCCCGCTCCGCGGCGAACCTCTCTCGCTCCGCCTTCTCGCGCGCAAGACGCTGGCTAATACTACCGACGACCTGGCCCTGGAACGAACGGCCGTCCTTCCTCTCGCCGGTCGCGGGCCTCTCGGGCTGGCGCTCGCTAGACATGTGCCGCGCGCTGCCGGCAAGGGCGACGCATCGCCGACGCGGGGCCGGACCCGCGGTCCTTAGACCCTGCAGAGCCGCCTGCGGAGCTCTAGCTCTGATGTGCGCCATTGCGCTCGTTCGACTCGTTGGGGGGGGGGAGATCCAGACGCGGTTCGTGGCTGAAGCAGAGTTCAATGCTGTCCAATTGATCGACGAATGCGAAAGCAACTTTAAGCCATCCGAGGTCGGGAGCTTGAGGGAAGAGGGGTGGTTGCGAGGAGGGTGCGGTGACGAATAGAGCAGAGTAGAGTAGTTCGGGGGAGGGTTGGAGATTATTTGTAACTGGGTGGAGCTGCATAGATGCGTCTTAGCACTTCTGGAGCTCGAATGGCGAAATGGAATCCATGCAAAAGACCTGCAGCAGGAACAACCCTGCACACCTATCGGGGATAAGGATTGGCCGGCCCGGGAGCGGGGAAATATGGGACCCCTCCGTGACACCGGCCGATAGAGCCCCACACCACCCGTGGCTTACTCCTTCCCTCGCGTCCGCTCTCAGGGCCGAGGGTTGGCGAGCTAATGGGATGGCGTGCTTCGCGGTGCGGGCATCCTTGCATTGAGTGGCATTACGAGATAACAGAGATGTACTGATTGGACCTCGTTTCAAGATAACGGGCGGTTCGCATTTGTCATTAAGCCGCTGACTTGTCCGTCTGTAGACATTCAAACATGCCTGCATCGGCCTGTCCCGCTTTCATAGTGTACTCAACTACCAATATCGCAGTTCAACGATGCTTTTTTCTTCCTTATATATATACCCCGTATATGTGTATTTACTTTATGCATCGGTATCGTCGTTGCAGCATGTGGTTCGGCAGGAGACTCTACCGCGATATCACCGCACGCTTCTTCAGCCCGCCTTCCACACGGGGACGAGCTGTACATTGAAGGTCGGGGTAGCGCCTTGCAGGTGCGCTACGTAAGCCGCCAGTTCCGGGTCCTGGTCGATCTGCAGAGGCATCTCCCCGCCCTTCCCGTCCTTGAGCACGCCCTCGACCCTCAGACAGATGCACCCGGGGAACTTGCTGGCCGCCACGTGCCGCAGCTCCTGCACCGAGTGCGAGCTGAGCGTCGCGATCCACAGGTTCGCGTTCACCACGAACGTGGACGACGGGTGCAGCCGCAGGTAGACGGCCACCACGCTTGTCGGCGCCGGCGTGTGGAACACAGGCGGCGGCGGCGGCGGCGCGGTCGCGAACTGGTGCGCGTACTGGTGGTCGACGAAGGCCGCTTGTGCGTTGGCGACCAGCAGGAGAGAGGAGCCCAGGTGGGCATCGAGTGCCATGTTGGTCTGCGCCAGAAGCGCCGAAGACAAGATCCGCGCGGCGGGGTGCCCCATCTGGTCGCCGGCAGCGGCCTGCGGTTGCATGGACACCGGCATCAGCATCTGCCCCTGAGTATCCCCCGAGCTGGGCACCAAGACCATGGACGACACCTGGCCAGAGTTGCCGTACTGGCTACCCAAGTCGCTTTGGTGCTGTAAACCATCAGTGATTTCCGGTTGTGTAGTTTGAACCGCCAGCACGTTCTGGTTCTGCTCGTGCTGGGCCTCGTCGCCGTCCGACCGGGCCGCTCCGGCGGGGCTCCGTTTCCTCGGCTGGTCCCTCCTTGAAATGTCGTCCCGCAAACGCTTCATCACGTCCCGAGCGATGAGATCCAATGCCCGCACCTTTTGGGCGTAGGCAGGATCGCCGGCCCCGAGGGCGAGAATGCGCTGGATGAGGTCTGACTGATCCACCCACCTCCTCTTGAGGTCGTCCCATTGCGCAGGGCCGGCTTCCGATTTGGAGCTGAGGCCCTCGTCCCTCAGGAGCTTATCAAACGCGGCGCGGAGGTCTCTCGCCTCCTCGGGATTGATGCCGATGATGTTCTTTGCCTCTGCTAGAGTGATCCGCTTATCCAGCGTCCGCATTCGTTTTGTGATGTCCGTGCATATGACGTCGAGCGCCAACACCTTGGACTCGTGATTATCCCTAGACTGCCACATCACGGCTTGAAGCTGCGGTGTCTCCTGGATCAGGCGGCTCTTGACAGCGTCCCATCTGTCTGGGCCGGCGATGGTCTTCTTGACGATACTCGACTCTTCACAGAGCCGCGCAAACGTGGCCCGTACCTGTCGGTAGACGTCGTTGGCCAGGCCGAGGATGACTTTTGCCTCGTCGAGGGTGGTTTCGGAAGGGAATCGCGGGGCGATAGACTCGTTTTGCGATGCAGCCTCCCAGGCCTTCAGCCGCCGCCTTTTTCTCCTGTTATTGTCCTGATCCCAGGCAGTGCCGACCTCGTTCGACAGAGTGCCCAGAAACTCGTGGTCTGTCAAGGTATCCGGGGTCATATCCCCTGCCGCACGTGACAGCCGTTGGCCATTGTCCCGGCTCTCGAAAGACTCGTCGGTCATCAGCGGGTGTTGCGAGCTGGGTTCTGGCGAGTCCTTGGACCGCTCGCCGTTCGCGACCTTCAACAGCCATCGGTTTTTGGTCCTCACGCGGATCAGCTCGCGCTTCTTGATTTCAAAGCCGTCTTCCTTCAGGACCGCCAGCATCTCCTTCTGCGACAGGTTGCGCTCCCATAGTTCCTTGATGCGGGCGACGAGGCGGTCGTTCTTGTAGGCGGGGTTCTGTTTCGAGGGGAAGTCCCATTTACGGAACTGTGCTTGAAAGGCTCGTTTGCTGCATACGTCATCATGATTAGCCCAGGATGACTTTCCCCGGATTCTTTCTGCCCCTCCTCTCACGGATCGGTCAAGGGACGCTTGTTGGGTGGATCGGAGACGGTCCGGCCGGCGGGAGAGCCACGGAGTGCGGAGGGGACAAGATGGCACCGAGAACCAACTTGACTCACCAGGGTGCGAAGTTATGGTGGATTTTGAGGTAATCCATTATGTCCTCGAGGGACTTCTTCTCGTTGATGTACAGCTGGAAACATAGCTTCTCGTGGGCGTCCCAATCATAGACCATGCTCTTTCATGTACAAGACGCCTACGCATCAGCGTCGAATGCGTTTTGGGTCGAGGATCGTAGGGGGGGTTGACTCGACGTTGCGCAAGTGGTTGATCGAGTCAGCCGTACTGTGCCAAAACCCTTCACACGGCCTTGAAGACTGTCTTGTAACCGCGGCCTTATCAAGGTGAGCCCGGTGAGCTTCGGTGGCTCCGCCCCTCCAGCAGCAACAAATCGTAGTCATCACCAGGCCAATTGATTACTCAGTCTATCATCACATACTCGTCAATGACTGCACCTTAGAGTTCGTTATATATAACGCTTGAGTTTGTCTCAAATTTATTTTTGTAAACTTGCTAGCCCCGTGATGGAATCTACAGAGTAGGCAAGGCGGTATAAAATGAGGTTCAGCACAGCACGTTGTGGACATTACGATAAGTTGTGCACCCAATCATAATTCCTTCACCTCATATCCGTCTCCAGATCTGGAGCTTCACATCAACGGAACGAAATCATATCTCGTCTCGTAAATCCCGTCGATATGCTGCACAAGGTATCCGGATTTCTCTCACGCTATCTCCCTGTCCGCCTATCGGTTCGAATCCACCACCCCCCCAACCACCATCACCATGTCCGACCTCCCCACGAGCTACAGCACCCTCATCCTCCCCCAGGTCCGCCTGTCCCACCACCCGGCTTCCTCGCCCACTCCGACTCCCGTGATCATACTGGCCCTCGACCGCCCCACGTCCCGCAACGCCCTCACCCAGTCGATGGCCTCCTCCGTCGTTTACGCCTACGCCCTGCTCTCGGCGGACCCGCGGGTAAAGTGCATCGTCCTCACGAGCTCGGACCCGAAGAACCGCACCTTCTGCGCCGGCATGGACCTCCGCCAGCCGGTCCGCCTCCAAGGCACCACCCGCGATGAGCACCGCGACACGGGCGGCGTCGTGGCGCTGGCCATGCACAACTGCACCAAGCCCATCGTCGCCGCAATCAACGGGTCCGCCGTCGGCGTGGGCATCACCATGACCCTGCCCGCCTCCGTTCGCGTCGTCTCCAGGGCGGCCAAGGTTGGCTTCGTCTTCGGCCGGAGGGGCTTCAACATGGAGGCTTGCTCGTCATTCTACCTGCCTCGCCTCATCGGCGCCGGGCCCGCGCTACACCTCGTCACGACGGGGGCCGTGTACCCGGCCGAAAGCCCCCTGTTACGGAACCTGTTCAGCGAGATCGTTGAGCCGGAGCAGGTCCTGCCGCGAGCGCTCGCCATTGCGGAGGACATTGCGACGAACGTAAGCACGGTCGCCGCCAGGGTCATGCGGGATATGATTCTGCGATCGCCCCAATCGCCCGAGGAAGCGCACTTGCTCGAGAGCAAGATCTTTTTCGACCTATTCAACGGGGAAGACAGCAAGGAAGGCATGGAGAGTTTTATGCAGAAGCGTGCGCCTCACTTCGAGGGGACAATGGAGAAAGATTCACCCAGTGCGTATCCGTGGTGGGAGGAAATAGACGTGAAAGCCAAGATATAGCTATAGTACGAGCTGGAAATTAAGCCACAATAGGAGAAAGTATCGAGTGTTTTCCCCAACAAAGTCTGGAGCTGCCGTCTCTCGTACCTCCATGATTCATTCAGACAACCGGCCACCGGCATTCTCAAGGTCTGTACTTCCACAAGTTTGGGTCAAAGATGATATCATACTCGTTCTTCTGGAACGTGCCGATGGCGCAGCTCAAGTCGTGGTATCCCTCGAGTCCAGTGACCGGCAGGTCCTGCTCGGCGTCGCTCTCCTCGTGTAGGTTCCAGCTGCCGACCAGTCGGCCATCGCGGGTGAAGAAGATGTCGACTCTCATGCTGCCACCCTGGGCGGTAAAGGACATGCCAACTCCCAGCGTCTCGCCGGGGCGGAAGGGGTCCGTGAAGGTCTTGCCGCCCCATCTGTCATTGATGTACTTATGGCCATCGTCGCCGTGGACTGCGAGACTGCCGCGGTGCCATCCGGGAAGTCGGAAGTTGGGATAGGGAAGGGCGGTGAAGCCAAGGGCGAGGTCAACTTCTCTCGCCGAGCCGCGGACCTTGACCTCGTAGTAGACCTTGAAAGGACGGCCGGTGGCGTGGGGAGAATGTGTCTTGACAGAGTAGAGGGGCGGGAACCCGATGATGGTGCTATCCGGGGCGTTCCTCTGCGTGGTGACCTCCCACTTGCCCGAGACAGGCTGGCTCATGGTCCCGCGGAATCCTTGAGGCTGGAGCAGCCATATCCTGTGAGTGCGCAGGGCTTCCAAGGCGGTGGGGTCCAGGTCGATGGGCTTTACGAGAGGGTACTGTTTGATCCAGGCCTCGCCTGCCTCGGCCTCTTGTTCGGTGGAATTGTTAGCGGGCGAACGGTCAAAGCCGCTGAAGAATGCCGGCGGCGGCGGAAAGAGGGTGGTGTCAGGAACAGCAGCCTCCCAGTCGTGCTTTGGCTTAGAATCGGATGGCGGCGGACCCGGCGGAGGAGCCGTGTAGTCGTTGTGGGCAGGGGGAGGGCCGGGAGGCGCTGTAAATTCGTCCTGGCGATGAGAAGGAGGAGGTCCAGGTGGCGGTGCGTAGCCTCCATGTGCCGGAGGAGGGCCTGGAGGGGGCGCGAAGTCGTCCGTCCGACCCGGTGGCGGACCGCTCGGAGCAGCATATGACTGACTCGGAGGGGGGCCGGATGGAGGGCCATAGTCCTGACCCGAGCTATGAGCCGGCGGCGGGCCAGTTGGCGTCGCGTAGTGCGGTTGCTGGCTGCTGTTCATCTTGCTGTCCAGCTGGGCCGAGAGAGGCCGTTGGGAGGGACGTGGGGCAGGACTGTCATCCTTGTCGGCTTTGCCTCCGAAACACATTGTTGATAAGAAGGACGGGTTATAGGCTCTCGGAAGAGAATTATGCAGTTCTTCGTGTAAACCGATGCAGTGAGGAGAGGTGAACGCTTTGACGTCAGAATAGAGCTCAAAGCTTGAAGGTAGCTTTGGGGTTTGAAACACTGGGGATCCAGGCGACTCGGTCTGATCAAATGAGAGGAATCACGAAAGAGCCCCAAGTTCGTCAGCGTCACGAATGAGATGTAGACGAGATGCAGCGGTGATGCAGGTTTGGAGGGGGGAGGCGGATGAGGCGTCATATGAAAGGAAGTGAAAGTGGCTGTGTCGTGGTAATGATGTGGTGGTTCAAGGCAGGCAGGGCAGACACTAAAGCTACCTAGGTACCTACAAACCCATAGTGCAGGTGAAGCTATCCGCAATAGGCAAGTGGGTCCGCATTTACTCGGCATGGCTGCCCCGCAACGCGCTGCAGCTCCCTACAATGATAGGTAGGTACAAATACAAATGGTACCGAACAAGCAGCGTCTGGGTCGGGGGATTCGGCTGTTTTCTGGTCGTCATGCCAAATGGACCGATCATTCGCTTTCTCCCCCGCATATCCGATGATCAAGGCAAGCAGCCGAATCGCCGTTTGATTTGAGGATTAGAGATTCCGTGTGTGTGACCAACGGGCTTCGCGTATATATAACACATGCCCACGACAAAGCCCTCAGCCACCGCTGCCGCATCCATCGGGGAGGCCGCCCGCAGGAAACCACTCCTTCAAGGGCCTTGACCATCACCGGCTAAACCGGGCGAAACTGGGTGGGGTGAGGTCGGCGCAGCTAACGTTTAAGCTTACCCGGTGGGCCTACGGGAGTTGTTTTTAGCACGAATGTCACCCAACTCTCAACATCTAGTATGGCTTGGATCGAGGGCACGTCGCCAGTTGATTTCATCACAAAGCAATTGGGTTGTGTGCGGTTCTAGCGCATAGTTTCTGACATAGGATTTGATTTGGCAACAATGTCACCGATGCTGAGACGCAAGACAGGTAGGTACCTGGGGGCCAGACGAAATGGATATATCCATGTAGCCCGGGGCTTGTACTTGTAAATAAAAACGTTAATTTATATTTGACATGGGGTGGACACGCCTATGATCGCTGTCAAGCGAGGTAATGCCACCATGGTTACTGCCATTGAAAAAAGTTTTGGCAGGAGTGTTGCCGACTTCTGCGAAGAATAAGAACATCATCCCCAAGCCATCCCCGAGTAAAAAGGGCCGTTGCGACACGAGAGTGCCGAACAGGCAAGTAGAAGTGAAGAAAAACCAGAAGAAAAAAATGGTCGTGAAGCTTCGTAAGGTGTACTCTACCGACAACCGCTCCTCCATAAACCACCACAATATAACCGAATCGGCCAAGGGGCCGCCGGAACGCCTGGCAGTGTACACGTACGTGCTTTAAGCACCCATGGAGCTAGCCTCGTTCGAGTTGGGATAAAAGAAGGCCACTACGGCGATGATGATGTAGGTCGCGCACAACAACGCACCCTCGAGATAGTTACTCCTTCCGTCGAGAACCAGGAAGTTGACAATGAATGCTGAAACGAAGAGACAGACGGTCTCGAAGAGGGTAAAGTACAGCGACATGTCGCGGTCCAAGGCCCAGCCGATGATGACGACGAGGGGCGTGATGAAAAGGGCGATCTGAATAGAGCTGCCGACGGCGACGCCGATGGCGAGGTCCATCTTGTTCTTCATGGCGACGGTGACGGCTGTGACGTGCTCGGCGGCGTTGCCGACGATGGGTAGGATGATAAGACCGATGAAGATTTCGCCGAGGGGACTGGTCTCGACGACCTCATTGATGGAACCGACGAGGAACTCGGCACATACGGCAACGAGACCAGTGGAGAAGAGCAAAAGGAGGATGGCGGCGGTGCGGGATAGGTGATCGTCGTCGACGACCTTGTCGTCAGAGCCGAGGCCGCTGTTGACCGCGGCCACGGCAGCGCGTGGCGGTACCATAGCACCGGGCGCGCGGACGGTACGGCCGTACTGGTTCAGGCGGTCGGGCAAAGAGTTGGTGCGGCGGATGCCGAGGCGGACGCGAGGGACCGGTCCTGCAGAAGACGTGGGAGCGATGGTCGAAGGATCGGGGGGCGCGACAAAGACCGCGGGGGCAAAGTTCTTGATGGATAGTCCGCGGAGGCCGGACACGGGTCTGGCGCGAGGGTTCGATTGTGATGCCTCGGTGGCCACGCCTGTAGGCGCGGCGCCCTGGTCTGCAAAGTCGAAACGCACGGGTTCACCGGGCTGCGCCGAGGTCCCGACCTGACCGCTTGCAACGGGCTCGTGGCCTTCAGTGTCAGCAGCGCCGCGAGAGCTCTTTTTAGACTTTTTGTGCTTGTGGTGGCGCCTGCGGTGCTTGCGATGTTTACGTGGGCTCTCCTCCATGACCTCATCACTGCCGCCCGAGTTGAGATGGGGTATATTAGGACGGCTACCGGTCCCCTCAGAGCTGTTAGAGGTGGCGACAGAAGAGGTGCGGGTCCTGGAGAGGCCGTCGGCGTTGATAGAGGCCACACTGGACTTGCGCCTTCTGCCGGCGCGCATTACCTTTCTCATTGTCTTGCGGACGGTGCCGCGAGAGCTGTCCGAGCTGTCCGAGTCCACGTCATCATCGGATGTATCTTCGGAACTCGACGAGTCGAAGAAGCCGATGGCCGGGCCTGGCGCGGACTCGGCATCGACAATGTGCTGTGGAGTAGACTCATACATGTAGGCATGGGACCTCAGCTGGAAGAGCAGGTACAAGATGTACACCAGAAGGAGGATCTACTCGCGATGAGAAAAAACAAATTCCAATCAAAGGCTCAAAGCGGAGCACTCACCACACTAGTACCACGGCTAATCTTCAAAGTCTGATCTTCAGCCTTGAAACTATTCTGGAAAGAGGCGTGGAAAGCCGTCTGCAGTTGTATCAGTTTCCGGAATGATTGAACCGGCAGCGAGGGGGGGACGTACTGGCAAGACCAAGCTGATGACGCTCAAGCTTAGCAGACAAGCACTCATTTGCGTGACGGTGCTGTTGTAAATCTGATATGCGTCCGTCAGTGTAATGCTCCAAATAGCGTCGGAGTCAGCCGAACTAACCTGCTCGCGGAAGCGCAGGCCACCGAGAAAGAAGCACATGCCCAGAATGAGCAGGAGGTTGGCCAGGATGGATCCAAGAAGGGAAGCCTGAACAATTCGAATTTCGTTCTGTCGTCCACAATGTTAGTCTAGGATCGCTCGCCCACGAGAGTTGGGGTAACGAACCTTGACAAGCGCGATGCTGTTTGGTCACAAAAATATGTCCATGTCAGTCAACCGCAAAAAAGAAAGACGAGATTTACTTTTTAAACATCAATTAGAGCAGTGACAACAAGGCTATGGGACGGAAAGCTGTGCATGGGTTGGGACTCGATTGATGGGACATTGTCTTTCTCCTTGGATAATCGACTTCTCTCGTCCCTCATCTTGGCCAGCCGCAAAAGGGTAAGTATGAACATACATGCTAGATTGGGAAAATAAGCATTAGCCAAGACCGCGCCAAGATATACATGGGCGGAGGGTTGGAAGCCAAAGATGCAGGGTGCGACAGGGCCAAGACAGCTAGCTGCCAAGCCAAGCCAAAACCTTTGCATTCCGACTTCCACCCTCAACTCAACTCAAACCACACCATTGGCAGCCTTTGACAGGACTGACTCAGGAGTGAGGATTTAGACGGGAAAACTTACAAGATAATCAACTCGACTGCATTGCCGAATGTCACGTTCAGGAGAGCGCCGATGGTGTCGCCGAGCTTGCTGGCGACGGACTCGGTGGCGTGGCTAAGCAGGCCGGCGAGCGGGATAATGGCGATGGCGTTCATGGCGAAGACGAGGCCCGGGTTGAGGTTGAGAGCCTGAACGACGATGCCGATGGGCACAAAGATGAGCAGCAGGTTGACCCAGCTGTGGAAAAGAATCATCTTGGAGGTGAGGTAGAAGCGGGTGAAGACGGAGGGCTTCGGCTTCTGACCGGAGGGTGTGTTGTTGCCTTTCTCCTGCGAGGAGTTGCCGGCGTCGCTTAGGACAGGCCTCTGCCCCGAAGCTTCCTTTGCGGCGAGATCCTCGGTGGTGCGGGGGCTGGTTTTGTCGGTGACGTCGTCCGGGTAGCCGAGGGGCGAGCCGGCGGCGCCATGATTCCTGCTGACGGAGGGATCCGTGGTGTAGGCTGTGTTACTGGTATCTCGCTGGTGAGCGGGAAAAGTGGACGACTTGCTGGGCAAGTTGGGAGTGAAATTGGCATTTATGCCTGGGGGTCTAGCTGCGTCGTCTCGAGGATTGGAAGTTTGGGGGCTGCGACGGGCGCCATGCGAGGATCCAGGTGCACCAGAGCGTCTGCTGTCTATATTTGGGGGGTCAGGAGAGTCGTTCTTCATCGAAATAGATGACCGGACACTCGTGTCTCGGGGGGAGGGCGGGACGGATGGGATGGGATATATTTTTCTGGTATCGAATGCGAGCTTAGGTATTTGCTCGCTTGGTTGCTCGAAAGAGGCTGTACTGTTTCCAAGACTACTTGGCTTCGGAAAGGGGAGGAGCGTGAGAAGTGCGGCCTACAAGAGGAAAGAGGAGAAAGAAGTTCGGAAGGGGATGTGGTCAGACGTGACGAAGATAAAGGATTCTTTAAATGCTCGACGAAGAGAGAGACAGAGAGAGAGAGAGAGAGCAAGTAGGTACGTAGTGGGCATAAGGTAAAGGCAACGTCGCAGGCCACGGACAGGGGTGCGGGTCCGCAGCATGCCTAATCCTGTCTGTCGGTACCTGTACCTACCTTACGTACCTACCTCCTTCTCGTTTCTACTCAGGTACGTACCCAGACAGACCGACACTCACGCAGGGAGGCAGAGCAAACTCGGAGAACATACCTACGGTAGTGTAAACAGACAAAGGAGATACAGATACCTACGCAAAGCAAGCTAGGGCCCTACGCCAGGAGGAGCAAGCAAGCAAGGACTCCCTGTCGGCGCGCTTGGCATGCCCGGGAACCAATCGCCAACGTCGAAACATCCTAGTGGATGAACCGCCGACGGTATCGAGAGCGAAGCTCAGTGCCAGATACAGTAAAGTCGCCAACGACCATGTGGAGCCTCAGGCGGGTTGACTGACGGCTGCGCCCACACACCTTCTCCATAGCCTCATGTTTTGACTGACGGGTTCCCACCCACTGTGTGCCTTCACCTCTCGGCCATCTTTCTCTCTTTCTCTCACACACACACTGTCTCGTCTATGTACTCTCCCTCGCTCCTCCTTTTATTTCGTATTTATTTTCATTTCGCCCTTTGCGCTTCCGCCTCGCGTCCTCGGGTGGAGTGGTGGGGGCTCGATATCGGTCTATCCTGTTGTTTCCCACCTTCCCAAGAGCTGGAACGCCGCCAGTGATCAGCAATCGGCAATGTGGACGCGTCCATGGTCTCATTGGGTTGCCCAAAGCGCAGTCTCAAAGTACGTAGGTAGGTGTGATAAAGTATGAAAGTACTCCATATACTCCGTACTCGTACAACCACTGTTTATTACATACAGGCTGGCGGGCCACAGCATTTCTCAGAGTTCCTTCTGGACAGGGGTTCGCATCCATCCAAGCCAAGCCCATCAAGCTTTTGCCATGGAAAAAACCGGTCTGTACCTACCGAGTATTGTCTTGGCACCTACACTACGGAGTAGGTACTCACTGTATGCATCCTGGTTTACCTCAGTACAGCGTCCTCTGTACTCGGTAGACAACGATGACGGGCCAGTCTGGACCCAATGCATGCACTGCATGTACACACGTCCACGAATTGCATGCTGCCACTCGTCCCACCCATCCGCCATCGTCATTGTCATCGTCGCCTTCATCATGCTATCATGCATCATCCAACTACCAGTAGCAGATCCCCCAGCCCAGCAAATGCAGTGTATGATATCACAGCCCGCCAATCCCACTGCAGAGGGGAGGCTCTCCCTTTCTTCCGGGGTTGCCTCCTCCTCAGTTCACCCGCCTTCCATTACGTTGTCCTCGGTCTCGCCAGCTACCCACCGACCTACCGGTAGTTTAACTACCTAGCCTAGTGTAAAACAACATTACCTCACCCAACCCTGCCCCGAAAGAGTCCGGGTGGACCCGCGACCCAGAAACTATTAGACTAAACAGGCATGGACCTACCTATACCAACCGCACTGTAGGGGAAGACTGACTCGACGGGGAGCGGGATGGGATCTACTACTACTCTCTTTCGATACGCTCCCCCGTGACCTCCCCATATCCATTCATCCATTCCATCAATTAGCCCACCCCTGCCTCCGCTTCGACATAGTTGCATGCACCGTAGCAGCGGTGTGTATGCTCTTCTGACGAAAACTCTCACTCCGCTCCCGCCCGCATGTCGCCCCTGAGCAGAGCCTCAGAGGGTCATTGGCAACAATTCGTTGCCACCAGACCAGACCGTACGTAAACTACCTACCCTGTATATGTAGAGCAACTTCACTCAGCCCAACCTTCGCTCTCTGGGTACCCCCCCGGGGAAGCAAAGTAAGAATAAGATAAAAAAAAGGGAAGGAAGAAAAAAAAGAGGAAGAAGAAGAAGAAGAAGAAAAAGAATACGGGCAACCTTCCTTGCCCCAGCCCAGTACATGGCAATTCCATGTGCGAGAGCTATGTGAACCTACGCCACATTGACGCCCGCCCCCATCCCAAACACTGGAAACCAGAACTGTTCGAGGCCCACCCCCTTCCGAGAAACATCCATGGGACCGGAACGGGGTGCTTCGACCGGACCCGCTCGAGCCTCATCGAGCGCAGTGTGCTCTCACTTCTCCTCAGGTTGTTCAGAAACAGAGAAACCCGCGAGTGGGTGTGTATCGCCCGTATGCCCTCACTCGCAACGTGCGCCAAGAATCGCCAAGGGTGGCCGAATCCAGATGATGGACTGGCCCAACGCATCGCGTACATGAATCTCGAAACGGAGACCGGATGCCGGGAACGGTCCCATCTCTCCTCGAGACCAATGCGTTTGCATGTTTTGTGTGTGTCGTCTTGCTGCCGCTGAGAAGGAGGGAGGGAAGAAAAGAAAGAGGAAAAAAAAAAAAAAAAAACTTTGTAAGAAGCCTCGTCAAAGGCAGGAGCGAACATTGTGTGTTTCTGGTCGGAAATGGAAACCATCATCACCACCACCACAATACGCACTCATGCGCACACATACACACACACACTGGGAGAGCATCAAACACTCAACGGGCCATGCCAATTCGCCATGGTCCGCCGGTTCCACCCCAGTGGCACGCTGCTTGCCGGTCGGGGATCACCCTCGTACCTCCCGTTTGACACCCCTAAGAAAACCAAACGTGTTCCGGGCATCTTGACGCGAAGATGGATCTTCTCTTGCGTCGCACACTCTGCAGCAGAGTGGCGTTCCACCCGGCTACTCACACCCTCTACGAAGCCTCGAGCATCGCAGGGTGGGCTGCGAAGACAGGGGATGGGGCCATGCCTGCTCTCCCAACTTCTACTGCAGTCCAGTCGTAGTGTGCCCAGGTTGTGTACGCTCAGGGCATTTCTACACACATACACACACGGTGCACGGAACAACGACCCCAAACTCCCAGTCCTCACGAAGCTTTCCTACCTAGCTGAACGAAAAAAGACGAGAAAAATAAGTAAAGGAGGAGGGGGAACCGTTTCCTGCCTCATTTTTCCTTAGCTTCCCTCCCTCCACGACCATAAACACGGTAACCCTCTTTCCATCCGACCTAAATGCATCCTTCGGGTACCTGAGTCTGATCCCCTTCGGGTCCCCATAACCTAATTGCGACTTCTGCAACTCCCGCGACGTCTGCAACGCAGTGAATCCTCCCCTCCTTCTTTTCCCCCTTTGTCTTGTAACTCGTCTGGACGAACCTTTCGGGCCTCCTTCAAGCTCATTGGGCAATCCCGGAAAGGGAGACATTGCTCCAGAATTCTAATCCCAACTTCGTCCTCCTTTGAAGGGGGAGAGAATCTGGCGAACGGGGCGCCCAAGAGACCGCATCATCCAAAACTGTTCCGGGAAAACATGACATACTGCGTAACTGCAGGGGGAAGGGGACGGCGCAAATCCAATTCGAGCTTCCAATTCGCGCTCTCTCGGCACATGTTCAGACTTGGCTTATCAATCTTCAATCTACACTCTCTCAGTACCTATCTATGGATACGAGTACCGGTACGCATAAGCATTAAAGAGATGCCTACAGCTACATACAGTATCCGTACACTAAGCCGGCCCACGCGCGCCCAGAAGTGACGTCAGCTTCTAATTCGCCTCCTCATTGGTGAATGAGACGGCACCTGTGATTGGCTGTTTCCAAGTATGACTTGTCTACCGCGCCACGCTCAGCCACAACACGCATGCAAGGAGGGCTTAGTCATGAACTACCTACACTAAGACCGTTGGCCCTCTTGGCCACTGCCAAGCCATATAGCGGGTCGGTCATCCTGTCATCAGCGCCGTTGGTCCCCTCGGGTCTCATGTGGCGCCCTCTTCTGTCTACGGAAGGAAAATGACTTCATTCTCACATGGGGGGACCCTGTCGGTGATTTACCATGGAATACAACTCACAATGTTTCTGCCATCCGTCACTGCACGTCCTGTACCGACCGGTAGGGCTGCATGCCGGCAGCTTTCACTAGGTACACGACGCGCTGCATACTACACGACACGCTTCGCAAGTCAAGGTCCGTTCTGATTCTGATTCTGCTTCTGCTTCCCCTTCTTCTGTATTCCTGGTACGCCTTTGCCGCCGCCAGCAAGCAACCGGGGTCGCCGCTGTGATGCCATCAAATTAAGAGGGGAAATGTTGGGTTAGACCAACCACGAAAAAGGCCTCCTTGTACGAGGCAAGAAACACCACCCATCCCATCTGTACCGAACAAGATAGTAATAATAAAAAGAACCCCCCTCACCATCTCATGAACCGTCGTCAACCGACGCGATTAAAACCAACAAGCTTCTCTGTTTCACCGAAGAGAGGGAACCCATGAAAGAAACTCCTTCCGCCGTTCTATGCCCGTTCGCCAACAATGCAGCAGACGTTTGAGACACCCATGAACATCTGACAGTGACGCCAAACAACCAGACTGGTCTCCTCTTGGCTTGGTATTCACAAATTATAGCCTCAAACTCTGTAGGGGAAGAGGGTTGAGTGCTTCGTATCCATTCTCTCAGCACTCGACTTGTCGAGCTGGAGAGAGGCTCATCTGAGACGACCGGGTACCGCACAACGGTCTAGATTTTGAAATAATAGGCGGTGAACAATCGAGAGCACCGAGCGTCTCCTATCTCTCGTCGCCGCCTCTCGCTTTGCCGCGTCGCCGGAAGAAATCCATTACTCTTTTGGCGGCTCCGCTGCTGCCTTGGTGGCCGGT